GTGTGCGGCAGCGCGGCCACGGCCGACCCCTTGCCGACCGTCCGGCGAACTCTTCCGACCAAACTGACTTTATTAAACATGTTATGACCTAACATGGACAATAAACTGAATTTACAAGAAATGACTGAACTTTGTTGATCGGACCTAACACCCGGCCGTGGCGCTCGCTACGTGCGAGGCCTACGGCCTTCGGCCAACCCTCGACCAAATCAAAAGGTATCTCGACCAATTTAACATTACTGAACAATACATGACTTAACATGAGTATTATGACCTGAGAACACAATTGATGCACGCTGAACATAAAAAGGGCCGTGGCGGGCGCGCCGTGCGCCGCCGACGGCTACACGCCGTCTCTCGGCCGTAACGCTTTATTATCCGACAACTTCAGAACAACTCAACATGATCCTTACACTGAAGCAATTTAAGACTTAATCACACGGATGAACATGATTGATATTAAACTCACAAAGTCATGAACCGCGGCCGCCCGTAGCTACGTGCGATAAGCACTAGCGCCGGCTTTGGCCAATTTATCAACAAAATCTCATTTTTCTTCAACAAAGCTGATCTTATTGAACATGAATCTAATTATACTGAACATTTAAATGAGAGTTGCCGGAAGAAATAGAAAATAACTCGGTCATGCTCTTACTTAAACATAATCGGAGTTAGGCACGGTCTTGCTCGAATTTCTCGAAAATGGATTGAACACTAACCCTTAACATGACCTTATTAATACGATTATAAGTTGAAGAAGAAGTTACCTTTCCGACCGTTCGATTGAAATTGGAAAATAGGGCGTGAACCGCGTGTACTTGCGCGTGCCGTGCGTATGCTTGACCTTGCCGTGCACTTTGATGGGAAAATTAGGGAACTAACGTGTTGATGGAAGAGGTAAGGAAGGCTGATTTTCTGCTGCTTAAGTTTATAAAGAAATTGAGGGAAAATTTTCATCATCTTCCACTTATATATATTGCCGAGGGGAAGATTTTTGGTTGATGTTGGTGAGACGTGGCCAACTCTAGGCTTGGCACATGTAACCTCCTTAGCTTAATTTGGGTGACTAAGCACCTCATTCTCTTGCCACGTTTTTGCTCCCAAAAGTAAGGAAAAAGGGCTTACCTCATGGTGAAGAACCCACGGCTTTTTACTCTAATTTTGGGAAAATATCTCTTAAGGCAAGGCTTTTTTATTTCCTTAAGGAATTTGAGTACGGCCTTAGACATTGATGGTGTTAAATCCATAATTAATCACTAACTTTATGTTTAATTTACTTAATTAAACATAATGCTTAATTACCAAAATTATTTCGAACGTAAACGATACGTCGAAAATAAATTTCGGTAATCTCGACTGAACTTAATCAATTCCGAAAATTATAAACGATAACATTATTATATCGGAACTAAAACGTAATTTATACTGATAAAATCTCGGGATATTACAGTGCGCATCTCGAAACCTCGTGTGATAAGCCCGAGTCCTTGCCTTCACTCGGGACTTTCGTGCTCGTGCGCCTCGCATACGGGCTCGTACCCTTCTCTTAGGCCATGCATACGTGGTTTTGGCCCTTTTCTCGGCCTTCTCGAACCATCCCGGTCATCGGCTCTCGGCATCCTCGGTCCTCGAAAGCCACTTCCGCATCAGTGCGCGACCACGCTCCTCGGCCAAATCACCAATAAATCATGCAAATTCTTCGAGCAAATTAACTTATCTAAACATGAATTAATATAAATAACTGAATACACGAAGATTGCTCGAGAGAATCGAATTAAAATGAACATGCTCAACACGGCTACACGCACGACCGAAAGCAATAAATGAATAAATCATGAACTTGAACCTAACATGATCTTAATATCATGAAAGTATGTTGAGGACAATATTACCTCCTCAAATGTTGGGCTAAACCCCGAGAACGGGCGTAATTTCCCGGCTCCGTGCGTGCGCTAGGCCTCCGTGTGTACGCCGTGCGGTATTCTCGCGTGAGCTTGGCAAACCAAGGGAAATTTTTAATTCTCTCTATACTTATTAACTATGCTTATAGTGAGGTGTATGTGCTGATAATAGGAAAAAAATTGATCCCATGTCTCCCTTAAATATAATGGCCGAAACATATTACATGAAGAGGTGGGGAGACTTTTTGTTAGCCAATGGCAACTTACCACTTGCTATTACTTGAAGCTTAGTCATCTCTAAGTGTGATTAGTCATCACATAATTGCATAAGAACAAGACACCTCATACTTAGTGATTTGAAGACAATTTCTCCCAAAAAAGTCTCTAAAATTGCTCACGGCATTTCTAAAATTTTGGGGCAAATTGAAGGAAATTTTACATGACTTTTAAATACAAAAAAATTGCTCACGGCACTTAATGAACTAAACATGATTAATAATTAATTAAATATAATCTATATACTTAATTAATTACTAAACATGATACTTATTATCCAAAATTATTCCGAACGTAAACGAGACGTCGAAAATAATTTCGGTTAACCTCGACTGAAATAATTAATTCGAACTGTAAAAATTTCGAATCCTTGACTTGGACGATTAATCCGAATATTGATATTTCGAATAATTCGTCAACTTAACTTATTAATTCCGAACTCATTAATTAATGAACGAATCGGAATTAAATCTCGAAACTTATTCGGTTACTGAAATAATTAAACCGAATAATTTATCAACTAATATTCGGATTTGGAATTTAACTAGCTGAATAACATGAACTTGAACATGATTATTTATTAACAAAGGCTAGCTTAAAATTAAAAGCTAGTATTTTCCTTATTAATAAAACTCGGGGTGTTACAACTAGCCAATCCGAAACCGTCCCAAAATTGCCTAAAACCACTAGCTAACTCCGAGAACAGACGACCTACCACAACTCAGAAACTAAGCACGAGGAGAAAGGGAACAAACGACCTCAGGGTTCAGCCACTCCGGCCCTGCTCGAAGAAACATACTCAGCCCGATCCAGACCTATCCACCCAGCTCGCAAGGACGAATTCCGACCTGCCACCCCAGCACAGCCGAGGCACCAGAAACTAGGCTCCGACCAAAACCGAAGTCATGCAATCGGATTACCTGCCAACCCAGCAGAAGGAGACGCTCCGACCAAAGCTCGAATCCAACCTCCCCACCCAGCCCCCGAGGACAGGCCGAAGCCCTCCCTCTGCCATGCCAGCGCCAACGACACCCA